TAAAAATACACAAAATTGGATACATAGTACTAAAATTACAAATACATAAATAGTGCAACACAACTAAGAAAAAGTATAGCAAAATGATGATACACAAGCTTAATATCATGTTCAATTTACTAAATTCATGTGAAAATATTAAAAGAATATCATCAAATTATTGAATATAATAGAAAAATTCATAGTACTTCTTTGTTCTAGGTTAAATATCAGCTCTAATTTAATTTATAGTTGAACCGTGAGAGCTAATATTTGAACCATATTAATTAAGTTGTAAAATTGCACAAACATGATACAACAAAAAGTCTTATACACTACATTACTAGAAATGAATAGTTATTAATGTTTTTTAAAACTTTAACATTCTTTCAATAATGCATACCAAATTACAATGTAATTGTCTACAAAAAAAAATAGGAAAAATTGACAAGAATAATCCCACCTTTCACTGATCTTCTCATAATAATTCTATCTTTACATAATCCCAAAATAATCCCACCTTTGCACCCTATCTTCTTTCATTGGATCCTGACCAAGTTTTTTACCTTTCTTTGAAAATCTTATATATATAATCTCACATTTATAAAGATATAATAAAAAAGTGAAAGGTAAGATTATTTATATGATTTTCAAACAAAGAGTAAAAAACATGGTCAGGGTCCAATGAAAGAAGATGAGGTGCAAAGGTGGGATTATTCTGGGATTATCTAAAGGTGAGATTATTATGAGAAGACCAGCGAAAGGTGAGATTATTTTTGTCAATTTTTTCAAAAAAATAACAATATATATATAAACACACACATTTAGCTATTTTAGGGTCGCATGAATACATACTTGGGCTATAAAATTGTTGGTTTATAAAAGAGATTTATTGGTATGGAAAAAATATAAAAATTTCAAATGCATTTTTTTAACGGTCCGGTATTTTCCAGTTCTCAAAATCTAGGACCGGGCTCATACCCGTTTCAAATGGTACAGTTTCGTTTCAGGATAAAAATCTATAAAACCGTTTAAATACCCGGTATTCGGTTCGATACCATTACGGGCTGGTTCGGTACCAGTTCGGTTCGGGTTTTATGCCCACCCCTAAATCTTTATATATTTTATGAGTATGATCAATTTTATTTCTCTCTTTAGGATCTAGATTTTAATATTTTTACATTTACTATTTGACAAATATGTCAATAAAAAAATTGTTTAAATCAATAATTCCCAACACTATATTTTTTTAATCCATAATTTTCATTTATTTACCTTGTCTATCCGTTCCTTTATCCGTTTATCATAAGATCTTGTTTGTAGAATTTTCTTTCAATAGTTATTTCTTTTTTTCTTCTCCCTCATTTTTATTTTCTTTCCTTATGTATTATGCATTCAAAATAATTCCACATATATAATCAAAATAAAAGCAGTGAACAAAATTGTAACCCTAGTAACTGTAGTGACTATAATTCTTTTCCTTTTTTCTTTCTCCCTTTCAACAAATATTTTGTCTTTTCATCCACTTTCCTTCTTCGTTAGATTTTTTTATTTGAAAAATTTTCGTCATAGCTGACAGAAGTTATGGTGGAGTCATTAGATAACTATGTAGAAAAGAGGAAATATAATATGGTGGAATTAAGGTTATATAAAAAGAAGAAAAAGGAAAAGTAAATAAGTAGAAGTAAAGAAAAACTAAAGTCAAACATTGGTAGGGTGAGAAAAAGATCTTTTATAAAATGAAACTAATCCAAAGAAAAATACATAAAAAGAGAAATGAAATACTACATGGAATAACATATCTAAAAGGTAATAAAAGCGTCAAAAGCATAAGTAAAGATATAAATCTTTTAGGAGAAAAAAGAAAGGTAAATAACATGGAATAACGTATCATCAAATGGTTAGAGATTAGGAAACAATGTAAAATTATTTTCAAATTACAATGAGATAATTCCTCAAATAGGTGTAAAACATAGGCAAAATGCAAAAATAGGTGTACCATGTTTTGAATAGGAGTTACTTTAGTGTTTGGACAAGTATACCCCTACCCAAGTCCCAAGCCTCAACAACTTTCATTAATAATTAAAACATAAAATAAATACTCCCTAAAATTAATTAATTTATAATAAAATTGTAAAAAACACAAAAAAATATCAAATAAAATATACTCCGTATTAAATAAAATAAAAAATTATTAAAATAAAAAATAAAAAAATAAAAAAAATAAAAAATATGAAAAAAGAATACAACAACAACATCCAAGCCTTAGTCCCAAAAGATATTGGGGTCGGCTAACATGAATCGATACATGATATCACAACCAAAAGGAAAAGAAGGAAAAAAGATAAAAAGATAAGCTATTATGAAAAGATAATATAAAAAAGATGAATATATATAAAAATGATAAAATAAAAAGGCTGCAAATAATGCATATATATATATATGAAAAAAGGATAGAAAATGAAAAAAAAAATGTAGGCATCTGCTGCCACCTCAACAACCTCCCAGCACCACCAACTCCGATCACCGGAAAAAATGCCAACATTTTCCTGAAATGCCATCAAGATGGCATATTTTGTGAAAATTTGACATTTGCAAAGAGTAAAACTGCTATCTTTATGGCATTTTTTTTAAAGAAAATGGCAGTTTTTACATAAAATGACATTTTTTTCGCCGATCGAAGGAGACATTGCTGGGTGATGAACGAGGCTGCGGGAAAGGCCTGCATAATTTTCTTATTTTTTTAAATACATTTTATCTATTTTTTATTTGTTTTTAAAGTTTTTTATTTTTACAAAAATAATTTTTTAAATATTTAATATTTTAATATTGTTGGGATGAAATTAGATTATTTTTGAAATTAAATGACTTGCATAAATGTATCGTTTCCAGTGAATGAATTTAGATTTTTTTAATAGGATCAAATAAGTGATATTTTAAAAGTAACTAGGTTAGGGATATTAAGGGTACAAAATTAATGTTTACTTCTATTGAAGGAAATTTTAAGTTTTACTCCTATTTGTGCAATTATATTTATGTTTACTCCTATATTGGGCAATTTATAAATTACAATTAAGTGAAATTAAAAAAAAAACTAGATTATTAATTTCTATTTTTCCGTTTCCTTATAAATAAACTAAAGGTGAGAGTGGGTAGTGGTCTGAGCACTCAAGAGCTAGTTTGCTGCCTATTGCCGACATTAATTAGAAACCTATCTAGTAATTACTACTAGTAATAATCAAGACGACGGTCAAATTAAGGAGCTATCTTTTACCGTAAAAGAGAAGTCTATGTATTACAAATTACACTCTCTATCTCACCAACTTCGCTTATGTAACACTCAAATTGACAACATTAATTTAGGGGAAATCATAAATGTATAAATGTCATTTCTCAATTTTAGAATATTTGTAAATGTGATTCTGGTCCATATTATTAATGTCACATTTAAAGGACTATATTTAGAATAACTTGGAAAAGAATTAAAAGGTGACATTTACAAACTTAAAAACATGATTTCCCTTTTGAGAGGTGAAACTATGAAAGCGTGATTTCCCTTTTGTTAATTTTTAAGAAATTATACTAAATGGGACTAAAACATGGTTAAAATTCCAAAATAGGACTTCACGTTTAAAATTGCCTAAATGAGACTCCACATTACATTTTTGCCCTTCTGGGATTAAAACCCCAATCTGCGTCGCTATTGACTACATCCCCAACACAACCACTATATCCGCCATCAGCCTGGGATCAAATCCCTATTCAACATAAAAAATCTCCGATCCATCCTGGGTGCCAACAGCCTCCCTCTCACCACTCCGGCCAGCCAAACCCTCCCGGCGAACCAGACACTGAAGATTCCATTCATGGATTAACGATGCTTGTTCCAATCGTGATTCTATATGCTTTCAATGTTGTTCTTAAAATTCAAAAATAGAGCTTTGTTGATTTTTAAGATTCAAATAAAAAATTTTATTTGAAACTTTGGGATTTGAAACTTTTGGATATGAACTTCCCATCCTCTTCAAATCTGGGTCCTCTGTTTTCTTCTTCTTTAGATTTCCAGAAAATGACACTTTTTGAATAAGAGAATGTCATTGTTGTGTCATTATTGGTCATTTTTAAAAAATGTCACTTTTATGTCATTGCATTATTTGAAAATGTCATATTGAGAATGTCATGTATCTATACGAAATTGTCATTATTGTGTCATTATGCATATATTAAGTGGCATTCTCGCATCTGAAGTGTCATTCCTCATGGAAGTCTACACAGGCTCACTGGAGGGTAGAGTTTTGTTAGAGAATAATGACAGCGTACTTGTTGAGGCGTGAAGGTGGTTGCAGACTTGATGGATGGTGGCAGAGCCTCCATTGGTGGAGGAGCCGATCTTGGAGGCCTGGAAACGCACAGGGCACAACATTTGCGTAGCAGGGGAATCGCATATGCGCAGCAAAGGCCCCTGCGAACTCTTCATTAAGGGCATTTTTGGTAGATTACCTCTTTTTAGTCCTATTTTTGTCAAATAAAACATTGCAGTCCTGTTTTTGCAATTCTACCTAATTTTAGTCCTATTTAGGTAAATCTCTCTTAATTTTTTTGAGATTATTGAAACTACTCGCTGAATTTTGGACATATTGCATTAAAAAATATATACTTCCTCCGGTCCTAAATAAACTTCACACTTTCCTTTTTGGGTAGGTCCAAAATAAACTTCACACGTCTTCTCCCTTCCTTATTTGGCAAAGTATTTACATCAAAATAGTGCTAAACAGTGCCAAACAGTGCCAAACAGTGTCACAACAATGTACTCTATATTAAAGTCAAATTTATTTCCTTAATTTGTGTGAAGTTTATAGGAACGGAGGAAGTATTTTATTAATGAAACAAATAAAAAACGTATATGGAAAAAAGTTAAAGTAATCAAATTTTAGTCATGTATTTGATAAAAAAGTGAGATAGATAACTAAGGCGGAAAATTGGTATCACCAAACTACTATATGTAGACATGCAGAGAGAATAGATGAGTTCAGATGAAGAAGAAGAAACAATGATGATACAAGGCTATTCTTCAGCCGTAGTCAAGTCAAAGACGACAATCGGCGGCGGCCACCGCCCTTGTGCCTCTCTATTTGTTTTTATCATTATTATCTTATCCTCTGCATTTTCGACGGGAGGACTGGAAATTCGGGATGCTTTTCATCAAGCCAAACGGACTTTTTTTGGGCCGGCGATCAACGAGACAGAGAAGATGAAGGCCGTTCATGCTCTTCTCAAGAAGATCAACAAGCCTGCTATGAAGACAATTCATGTATATATTTAATCACTGTTTACCATATTTCTTCTTCTGATCTGATTTTTTTAAAGAAGATTTAAATGGTGCGTTGCATTGATCCAGAGTCCTGACGGAGATATTATAGATTGTGTGGCTTATCATCAACAACCCGCTTTTGATGATCCACTCTTGAAGGCGCAAGAACATCCATTGGTGAAACAATTGTTTTCATATCACTTTTATATATATATATATATATGCATGTGTTATAACCACATTTAAATGATTTTAAGAATGATGAAAATAGGGGGTTTGCCTTGAATATTACTAATAAAAGAGCAAATGACAAAAAAGTGACCTTTTTATAAATTCCAGAAATGTGATTTATAAGTGATAAGCTTACTTATATACCTACTGCTACAGTGACAGGTTACAGTACACGAGAAACAGTTACATCCACCACCCCTTCCCACCACCTCCCACCGGTGACCGCCACCGGAGACCATCGCCGGCCATAGTGACAACGGCCATAGTTACAACGGCCATAGTGACAACGACCATAGTGATGCCGTCATAGTGACGCGTTATGCATGGTGTCGCCACCGCAGTGACACCGCCACGGTGACCACCAGCGACCACCGACCCCAACCCTGCCTGTGCCCTCCCCAGCTAGCACCAGCCCCTCCCTTCCTCTGTCACAACCCCATAATCAGCACCCTTCACAGTGGCAACATGCACCAGATCCCCACCCCTGACCTGCCCCCAATCTCCCCTCTCCAGCCTCGATCTAACACCTTTCTCCCGTTTAAGCCCCAACCTACACACCAGACCCCCACCCAGTTCCCAGCAGTCCAGCACCCTACTCCCCAACCCCCTCCCTTGTCCAACCCCCTGTTGTTCCCTCAGGCCCCTTTCCGACCACCATGACAGCGGATCCGGGACCCGCTGCACCAAACCGGAGTCGAGGTCAAGTTGTATGTCTTCATTTGAGGAAAGCAGAATCAATAGGATGGAAGATCTGGCCCCCAATCGGAGTCGTCTACCATTGAAGAAGGCGGATCCGAAACTGGAGGTCTTAAATCAAAGTCCTCATCCATGGGAGGGGCGGCCATCGAGGAAAAAGGAGAACCCAAGCAGTGCCGCTGCCGTTGAAGAAGCTGAGGGCGGAGGTCCTACCATCGTGAAGGTGGATTGCACCGGAGATGGAATCTGCGAGGTAGTTTGAAGGCTGACTGAGGAGTGAGGGTGGAAGGGAGAAGATGAAGCGAAGGTAATGTGCGGAAGAGGGAAGATGAAGCGGAAAAGGCAGCGGTCAGGGGTCACTTTTGTGTCTTTTGAAAAAGTGGTGATATTTTTGTCCAATAGAAGCTGTGAAATGATATTGGTGTCATTCTTTCATGAAAATATTACTCATGGGTTTTAAGTGGACAATTATATAACCACATTAAAATCTGGACAAAAAAGAGATTAATGTTGAAAAGACAATATTACCCGGCCAGAATTCCATATAGTAGAATCCTAAAAAATTGTAGTAAAAAAATCATAATATAAGATCTAAAAAAATCATAATATAAGATGTGAAAGCAAATCTACTACCCGCACGGGTAGCTCAGTTGGTCGAGTGGTGGGAGATTTGGAACAATGGACCAAGGTTCAAATCCCTGCAGCGACCGGGTGGAGGTCACAGAACCTGAAATAAGGCTGGGCCTCTGGTGCGCACGGGTGTATGGGCCTACTGCCATTCTGCTGACTGAGCCACCGTGACTAACGTCCCCACCATCCTGTCGGGTCGGGTTGGGGGGCTCCTGGGGTGGGAGATTCCACCTTTTTGGAACAATGAAGGCAAATCTACTACGTAGTAGTTTATTGTTTTGTCAGTGTCCTGGATCCATCACACTGTCTCTCCAAAGCCATCGCCACTCCTCCTCCATCATTCGTCTGCTGCCAATCGCTTGCGCCTTCGCTGCCTCCACATGCGTATCCTATCATCTTTCTCTTCTTCGCCTTCTTCTACCCGATAGTCTGCCTTCCTTTATCACATCATCTTCACATCCGTTGACGGGAGCGGCTCGTCAGATTCGACAACTACGGTGGCGGCTCCTCCATGGTGTAAGCGGCGGATCTTATACATCAGGTGGTGCGGAAGAGAATCAGTAGATCAAGACACCCAATATGTGGCGGCTCAGGTTCGACTATGGCTGAATAGTGGAGAAGGGATGGTTGCGGTGGTGATGCGATGGTTGTGTGCGACCGGTGCTAAGGTTGGGACATGGGGGCTATGGCCGGTTCTAGCGATGTTAGGGGCCTTGCCCGATACTGGCGTTGTTGGGGCGACCGTTTCACCGCTAAGATACAGTGGCACGATGGTGACTGGTCAGGGCCGGGTGTTGGGGACTAACAGCTGGGGGATGGGAGGTGGAGGTTGGTGATGGCGACAGACGGTGGCATGTCAATGTGGCTAGATTCAATGTGTCACTATGGCTGGTGTCTATGTGACCGGTGTCACTGTATCAATGTAGCTTCGGTCATCCGGCGACGGTGGTCACTATGACATTCATCGGCCGGCGGTGATCACTATGGCAGAGGTCACTATGTCGGTGGTCATTGTGGAAGGTCATGTCACTATTAGATAAAGTCACTAGCTAGAGTTAATTTAGCATGTTTAATGTTTATTAGTCACATTTTGGAAATTTTAAAAAATCACCTTTTGTCAATTATCATCTTTTCAGTAATATTTAAATCAAACCCCTAAATGATTAGGTATCTTTAGTAGTAATATATTGATAAGCTTTTTGCACCATGATTTCTAGTGTCTCAAATCATGAACTTAGCTACACTATTCATTTTCATCAAGTTGACTACATTAATTTCAAGGTAGTGTCACAAAGAACTACGGAGTACATGTGTTATGTGTAGTACTCTGCCGTTAATTATCTATGTTAGGGCTATACTAGGCTGAATCTCAGAGCAAACTATTATTTTCATTTCTTTTAGTGTACTTTTTACTCTTTGCATATTTAGCCCACCCGATAATGTTTAGCACAACCTAATTACCAAGTATGGTATTGAAGTCAGTCTGATCTGTTTATACGCTTACTTTCAAATAAATCCAGTAGATGCACACATCCAATTATACTTGTGTAAAGCTAATGACGACAAGTATTTCTCATGTTTCACAATTAATTAAGTTTTAAAGCATGCTAAGTATAATGATTCATCATTGAACTTTGTATAATAGTGAGGAATTTGGTTATAGTGTAACACTAAATTCCTTTAATCAATAACACATATTTATTGGAGTTTATGGATTTCACATATTTAACACAAATAGCTTTATATTCGGAGGAGAATTGGCAAAGGAACACAGTCTTTTTCCTCGAAGATATATTTACTTCAATTCTCAATTTAATATTTGAATGTTTGCGACACTTTTCATTTTTAATCATATTTGAATATAGATTTCTTTTTTTAATTATTAATGGTTTTATTTAAAAAGACAATACTACCTTTACCTTTTTCTTTCTTTCATTCCTATATTTTATATTCTTGTCTAGACTATTAAACTTTGTGCAAAAAGTAATGCTTTAAATATTCAAATAGTGAGGGAGTATGATTAATTTATCTCATATAAAAGAGATGCGGTACACCATAGACTTGCACACCTAATATATAGCTGATAGCATAGTAGAGACCCAGGGGTTACGTACTCTCAACAATTTTTTTTAGTGTATATATATATATATATATATATATATATACGAAAAATAATTTTCGTCCTTCCAAAAATTATTTTGAACCCTTTAAAAAATATTTTCGTCCCCCCAAATGACTTTTCTGGGTCCGCCCCTGACCAATGGTGCTAATGAAGTAATATATGTAAAGTGTGAATATTTCTACATTGAAAAATACCTGTGTACACATTGGTTTATATATTGATTCGGATAACAAGATAATAATTGTCTTTAAACAATACGCACAACTAAATTAAACGTAGTTATAAAGTTATGATAATCAGATATCTCAATGACTCGATATAATTATCAAAATGTAACATTTTATGTGACCAAATTGAAGTAGCATTTGTTATGAATGGGTAGAGGCAAGCTGAATGGCCAGTAGGCCACAACAAAAACAGCTTGGATTTGGAAAATGTTCAGTTATGGAGCCTAAATGGGGAGTCATGTCCAGAGGGAACAGTGCCCATTAGAAGAACCAGAGAGGAAGACATTCTGAGAGCTCCTTCCATCGCCGCTTTCGGAAGAAAAATGTCAACAAAAAGAGATTCCTCAAACGAGGTCCATGACTCCCATGAGGTTAGTACTAGGTCCACAAGTATTTCTATTTCTTGCTTATGCCTCAAGTTATATTTTGATCCAACATATGTGTTTATCCGGTACAAATTTTTGATATTCTTTACATTCTAAAATTTTCTTTTCACTCTAACTTGGTACATTAACTAGGAGAACAAAATTATGTGTTTAACATTTATTCAGAAAACGTATAAACATCCTCAACTAACTAATATGAAGTATGTTGATTTTCCAAAGAGAAAGTCACGTGTTCAAGTCTCATCTCAATTAAGAATGTGACAATATCTTCAACAAATACCATAACATGTTTAAAAATATATTCTCCGTACAAAAAAGGAAAAAAAGATATGGAGTATTTTTTTGAAAGGAATGAGTGAAAAGAAAAATTGTCACTCCAAAATAAAACAATAAATGGGAAGAAAATATTACTATGTATGATATGACAGTGCTCCACGCCTTGAATCACATGGTATGTGTTGTTGGGGAATATTAGGGGTGACAATCACATAAGCTCACTTTCTGAATTGATATTTATGGGAATTTCTCAAAATAGGAGTAAATGAAGTTTGAAATTCCAAACAGGACTACTTTGTTTTTATTTCCGAAATGAGATTAACATGACAGTATTTACTGTCATTTTGTAGCTGTGACTACCAAATAGTTGCAGTACAGTGCATGTAACATGACAGCATTTATTATAATTAATGACAATATTTTTCAATCATGACAGTATTTTTCAGACATGATCGTAATAACTCATATTTCGGGAAGAAAAACATAGTAGTCCTATTTTTAGAATTCTAAGTATCGTTTGCTCCTATTTTGGGTAATTTCCCGATATTCATCCCTTATACCTCGGTCACATGAAATTCAATTTATGATATTCCTTACGGAGGATGTGTCAGTCTCGGTGATGGTAGTCAAGTACATGTTATTGGGTCAAGACATGGTAATGGATCGAACCGGTGATGATGGAAGTAGGTGGTTAGTGCAATTGATGAGGTTTTTATTTTCTTGAGTTTTTCTCAAGATTTCAATTAATGGATGTTTACCTAGAGAGAAGAAATTTGAAGAAGAAGAGCCCGTTTGGTAGCACGAAAATGGGCTGTTTTGGCTGATTCTGCTGAAATTTATGAAGTTGTGGCTGAAGTGGCTGCATTGGCTGATTCTGCTGATACAAGAAAAAAATATTTTTAAAATATATTTTATTAATAAAATAAAGAAAAAATTATATGTAAAAATAGCTAAAATGATCATCTACAGTAACTTCAGCCAAAACAGCCAGAAAAGTAACTCCAACCTTACTTTTTCGGCTTATTACACAATTCAGCGTGCGAAAGCAAAATTTACGTGTTTGGTAAAAAAGTTGGCTGATAAGCCTGATAAGTCGAAAATGAGGGTTGCCAAACGGTCTCGAAATATAGCGGTGGAAAGTAGAAACACAACATTTGAATTACAATGTGAAAATGATCTTTTCATAAATTTTATAGACCTTAAAATAGAATATTAAAAATTACACTTCCTTTTCTGGTATAAACAACATCAAATCTCTTATTTTAGGGAATTTAGCTGGTGAGAATCCAAAGATAATTAAACTTGCAAACTTTTAGACATATCAACATTAAGACTTTAGAGAGAAGACAAAGCTATTCAATAAAGACAAATCAATATGTAATGACTTTTATACCCTAAAGAGAGAAAAGATAGTCCAATCCAGGAAGCCCAACTAACCCTGTTATTGAGGTTGTATCAATCAACTGAGGCCGAAGTCACTAATCAGGACTCAAATTTCATTAGGAAGCCCATTCTGAGCTAGGCAGGTAAGACTCTAGCTTAAAGTGGGACTATTTATAGTGACAATAATAAATGAGAAGTGCAGTGAATTCCAGTACACGTGTTCAGTGTTCCCGCCGGTAACTGTTCCACGATGGTCTAGGGCACATGTTGCCCTTGTCCGCGTGTATGATGCCCTTATCTACCTGGTGGAGACATGTCACTTTGATCTTGGACGAGGGGACGTTGTATGAGGAGGCACTCAATGAAGGTGTTCATGTTGATTCTAGCTTGTTTGATCCTTGTGTGGATAATGAAGGTCACTCGATCTAAGTGAGAGTACCTTCGGCTCGATGAGGGAGGGTATCAGCTGAGGGTTGTAGTCTATAGCTCGTTGGGTCCGAGCCCATGTACCCCATCAATAATACGAGTATTGTAATAATTTTAGTGACTATGACTAAGCTCAACTTAATAATCATAATAACGTAACTTTAGTCACATTTTTGTCAATTAAATTCATTATGCAATATTTAAGGAAAAATCTCTTTAATTTTGCAAAACATAAAAAATAAATATTTTTTCATGATAAATGAGGACTGAGGTTATGGGATGTTTTTGGTTTTTCAAGAAAATCAAACAATGTATTCACCGCAAATAACCTCAGTCTTTCCAAAGTGCACACGAAATCATGCATCATATCCTCCTACAACAAATATATTACGTATGTTTTTTGAAATACATATGGTGCATTTTTATCAATAGCATAAAATTTTCTCTTACAAAAATGCAAGATATACTTGATCCTTCATAAAACCAATATCAATGTGAATATGTGATAGTAGTTGTCACGTTAGGTTAGAAGCTTAATCCACATATGACCTAAAACTTAAGAAAATCCATTATATATAAGCTAGAAAAGATGGTATAGTGTACATATCATATCTATTGTTAGTGTCGACAAAGACGACAAGTGTTATTATATATCTCATTGAACCAGATGATTAACTTTAAAAGCCTCAATTTAATTAATCTGTGGAACAGCATGCAGTTGGATATGTAAAGGGGGATAGTGTATACTATGGAGCAAAAGCAGGTATAAATGTGTGGGCACCTTATGTTGCTGATAAATCAGATGAATTCAGCATATCACAAATATGGATAACCTCTTCTTCGTTGGATAATACCATTGAAGCTGGTTGGCAGGTAGTTCTTTTTACTTTTAGGTCGACTTAAATGTCTATTTCTTTTCCTTTCCTAATAAAAGCAGTTCAACATAGGGCTGTTAACGAGCCCGAACACCCAAAGTTCGAGTTCGGCTCGATAAGAAATTAGTGGTGTTCGGGTTCGAGCTCGAAGCTCGGCGAGCTTTACAAATGAGGCTCGTGTTCAGCTCGATAGGCGTTCGATGTTTGAACCGAGCACTCGATAAGTTCAATAAATATGCTCGAATTTAATATTTTAGACGATGCTCGTTAATAGGCTCGTGCTCGAATGATTTGACAAGTATTCGGTTCGTAAATAATTATATTTAAATTCATAAAATCATACTAATTATATTAAAATTTGACACACACACACATATATATATATATATATATATATTATATTTATAATTTCAGGGTGTTCGACAGGTTCGAGTTCGAATCGAGCCGAATACTACTATGTTCGAGCTTAGCTCCATTAATATTTCAAACATAAAACTCAACTCGTGATCGAGTTCGAAAGCTCGTTATGTTAGACTTGTTAGGTTCGAAATCGAGCTTGAACTCTAGTTCGATAAAAAGCCCTATTCGTTAATAGCCCTGGTTCACCACATGTATCAAGTGTCACTCCATATAGGGGTAAGCAAATTCCGTTTCAACTAGAGTTCCCATCTTTGGTTCTTGATTTTCTCAACTAGAGTTCTAGTCCACTCCATTCTCAACTTGAAATATTCTAATCTGAATCAAATGGCCCTAGTAGAAGAAGCGACACATGTGGCCGATTCCGGATTCCTATCCCAATCACCTATAGATAGAGAGGAAGAAGAGCGGCGCAGATGGCTTGAGGTGGTGTCGATTGATCTGAGAGCAAGGAAGTGATCGATGTTCGGCGAGGATTCAAAGTGATCACAGATCACATCGATGTTCGACCACCACCCGCTCTGCGTGGATTCACATCGATCTGCGTTACCGAGTAGTCGACGCTCTCCATCGCCGAAAGCATCGCCGCTCGCCGCTCGCCGCTCGACGATCGCCGCTCGCCGCTCGCCACTCTCCATGGCTGATTCGCTGCTTGCCGTAAGAAGCTCTGAGAAAAAATATGGCGTGGGAAGATGAAGACCGCAGATGGAACGGAAACGGGTGAATAAGAGTCGGCAACTGGAATTTTATGATCAGGGATAATTTGGTACTTTAAGATCAATTTAGTCACTTTTCTGTCAATATTAAATTAAGGTCCTATTTTTGTCAAGTTAAAAGCTTACGGTTTTACTTTAGTCATTATTTCTATAAAACTCCCTCCGTCAAAATACTTCCAACTTTCTCTTTTCGTCCGTCTAAAAAAGAACTTCACTTTTCTTTTTTGACAAAGAATTTATGGTTCACAACATTTCTCTCTCCTCTGCACAACTCTCCATCACACGATTCTCACTTTCTTAATGCGCGTGCCACTTTATTTTGAAAGTAAATTATGGGACGAAGGTAGTATATACTTCGTATATCTAGTCTAGGAGAATGTTGAAATGTTCTCCTAAGATAAGCCTATATATATGACCAAAACTCTTTGCAATTTACATCCCTTTTATACACATGTTTTCAAACCCCAAACTTCATAAAATAATTGTTTCCTTGTGGGTCGACCACGATTACAATAATGAGCCATTAATAGGCACAAAGTTATTCCGCTAAGTATAAGGTAAAGCTATTCAATTAAGTTTCTGGATTCCTTTATTCCTATGAAGCTTTCTGTATGGATGGCCCTCATCTGGCCGAGGGGCCCCAGGCGAGGGGCAGAGGGGGACTTCATCATTGCCTTATACTCCATTCGTTCCTTAAAACTTTATCAACTTTCCGTTTTTGGTTGTCCCACTAATTTTGCTACTTTCTCTTTTAAGTAAAGAATTTGTGGTTCAAGTTAATTCTCTCTCCTCCGCACAAACCTCTGCCACACAGTTTTTACTTTATTAATCTCTGTGCCGGTTAAACATGACAAAGTTTTAAGGGACGGAGGTAGTATTATAGTTTGCATATTCATGAGCATGTTGGGCGTGGGGTCCAGACCCATACATGTATATTGTTCTCACCCGCACGGGTAGCTCAGTTGGTCGAGTAGTGGGAGATTTGGACCAATGGACCAAGGTTCGAATCCCCGCAGCGACCGTGTGAAGGTCACAGAACCTGAAATAAGGTTGGAACTCTGGTGTGCACGGGTGTATGAGTCTACTGTCATTCTGCTGACTGAGTCACCGTGACTAACCTCTCCACCATCCTATCAGGTCGGGGTGGGGGCTCCTGGGGTGGGAGATTCCACCTTTTTGGATCAAAGAATAACTTGGCTCTTATATATTTGTAGGTAGTGGCGTATCCACTATGGGGGCAACGGCCCCCACTCAACCCCAACTCAACCCTTATGTATAGATCTAAAATTTTATATGAAATTTTTCAAAACAAGAGTTAAATGTAGAAAAAATCTAAAATAAGATTAAGAACGTTTTTTTTCATATTAAAACAATGAAATGCTAAAAAATTCACTAAATTTTGTTATGTTTACCTTTTACTCCCGTAATTGCGTTTTTACACACCCGTAATATAAATTAATCTTCTTTTTATTCATGCTTGTACATATACATATTAAACTAAATTTAATCGAACATATTAATAATGTGATTTGTTATTTGTGAAATATGAGTCTAAAATATAGTGCAAATTTGCCCCCACTCACCAAATTTCGTGGATATTAAATTACACCGTAGTATAATTATTTTGGTGTACTGATAGTAAACCGTAGTAAGAATGGGAAATTTGGATGCAGGTTAGCCAAGCGATGTATGGCGACACGTCTCCGAGATTCTTCATATATTGGACAGTGAGTACTCTTTAATTGTCTATTCGTTTAATTAACAATATTTGACAAATACTAGTATATATATATATATATGTAAAATTGTAACTATATATGTATCAACTATCAATAAATAAATATTTATGCGGTAAATTAATTAAATAAATTTTACTACGTATGTATCCTTACAGGGGGATTCGTATAACAATGGTTGTTACAATTTGGGATGCTCCGGCTTTGTCCAAATTGGAAATAAATATGCTCTTGGGGCAGCCATTAGTCCGACCTCACAATATAATGGAAATCAAACAGACATCGAGATATACATTTGGAAGGTGCATATCCATATTTAACAACCCTTGTAATTCAATTTATCTCTATCTCTTTGCAAAATCAGATTTTCTTGATTCGTCCCCAAATGATTTACAAAATCAGTTTTTCTTGATTCCTCCCAAAATGATTTGCAAAATCAGTTTTCTTAATTAGCACGAATTGATTTTATTTCGTTTAAGATTTAAATATCAAGTTTTTATTATATTCTAATTTGAGTTGTGCCGTTTTATAAAACTTCAAATGTTATTTACTTATTTTTAAATATGAAAATTTTAATTAATAAAGCCGATTTAACTATCTGGAAAGGAAGATGAAAAAATGGGAATTGTATCACCGCCCGACTTTTCATTTCCAGAAAAATAACAGGTTTTACTTTTTCCAAAAATGTGACCGGGGTGATCCGTCTCCTTCGCAAACTCTTGCTGCATTCTTACGCTTTCAACCCATCGTTGCACTCTTCCGTTTTCAACTATTCAAACCATCGCTGCACTCTTCCGCTTTGGACTTATGATTTAATTTCCACCTTCTCTCTGTCATCTTCATCAGTGAACCACCACCACCGCCTGTGTTAGGAAATTGATGTAACGTACCTCGAAAGTACAGCTGCGGAAGTTTAACATTTTCCCAAACATATCTTCCCTGATTATGACAAAATAACGAATGTACCAATAATAACAGATCTGAGTTAGAACTTACAGATCTTCCAGCCGCGGTGATAATCCTTGACCTTTGGTATCCACGTGATTTCTCCTTTCCGAAAGAACGGTTAAATCTTCCTAAAAGAAAGGCTAGGAAATCTCTTCGCACGGAAATAAACAGGTAATACTGAATCTGAAAACTGGTCACAAATTATGAAGGAGGAGGATGTATTTATACTAGTTCTAAACTAGTTTCTCAATCACAATGAAAGTCTTTCTAATTAATGAGTTCTAATCCCTCTAGGACCAATACTCCTTATTAGTTAAATAAGTAGATAAAAAAAAACAAAATCATAATAATAATAACCATAATAGAGAAGTGGTCTTACGCCACTCTCTATTTATTATATATATTATTATTTAGTTTATTTTACTTTTCTTTTTATTTCTAAATTACAAAAGAAAATATCAACTTTATTTAATAATAAATACATCTTAATTAAGTATAATAAATCTAATTTATCACACTTAATTAATTCTATCAAATAGAACACTCCTTCAACATCATGAATTAAATATATTTAATCTAATTAATATTTAATCCATTTGCAGTATTACGAATTAAATATTATTTAATCCAATTAATAATATTTAATTCCTTCTAACAATTCAATCGGAAGGTATAATCACTTGTTGTGTGACCCATAAGGCCTTATATATTAAGCACTAATCAAATTAAGGTCTTAGTAAAATCCCTAGATAATTTCCCAAACAAACTTAATATATAAGGACGTTTGCGATGACTATTCAAATTCCCTACAATATAGAGCTCATAGTGATACGGTCCTTTCATTCAACAAACATTCAACTAAGTCTAGAACTTGATATTGTGTCTATTCCAATAACTTAGTCTATATCTCTCAATCTTTCTAGATGATCCATAATGATCATATTCGATATCCAAAACGAATATATCTTTGCATTGGCCAATGACTTTATGATCCATCTAGATATGAGAAGAAGAATGTTCTCTCTTAATCTATTAGGAGGAATGAATTCTTTCTTTGCTCAACTACTACTCCATGTGCTTCGTGATGCACCCAACACATGCCGTATCTACCCCGATTGGAGTGCAAGCGTTGGTCATGGTCAAAGTACATCACTCCGCACATGTAGTACGTATTGACCTCAAGTCGGAGGACTATTACACTACTCTATACGCCGATAATCTCATAGACACATGAATAGAACTTATCAAATGGTTTCTGTGTGGGTATGCCAATATTCTCTAAAATATCTATGTGACCATCATGAATTACAGGAACTCATAGTTGTGAGATCAACTATACTTTCTAAAAGTAGGTGCAGTACACATACCAATCTTATCGCATATCATCAATATCTCATTCTTGATATCATTGATTAGGGCTATTTTAGGACCTTATGTTATATCATATAAGCTCCCACTTATTTATTGACAATATAAATCCAAGGGAACAAAATTATGAATAAAATATTGACGATCGAAAACAATCATTCATAAAGTGTAATACCATGTATATATCAAATATAAAAGCTAAATGTGATCAAGTACATATGTCTCTGAAAAAATGATTATCGCTAGGACATATATACTAACAATCTCCCACTTGGCCTAGTGTCAATCACCAATGCGTCTAACACCTAGATTCTCAAAATGTCTAGTATGTTTCTCGCAGCTTAAAGGTTTGGTGAAGGGATCAGCCAAATTGTCCTCAGTGGAAACACGTTCTATTGCAACCTCTCCCCTTGCTATCTGCTCTCGAATCACATGATAGCGCCTCGGCACATGTCCATTCATCTTGTCGCATCTTGGTTCCTTTGCTTGTGCAACAACACCAGTATTGTCACAATAAACGGTTATTGGACGACTGTCATTTGGAACAACCCCTAATTCTTTGAGGAATTCACGTATCCATACGGCCACTTTAGCTGCTTCTGATACAGCAATGTATTCGGCTTCAGTCGTCGAATCAACTGTAGTGTCTTGCTTGGAACTCTTCCAGTCTACTGCTGCTCCATTGAGATTAAAAACATATCCTGATTGTGAGTTATAGTCATTCTTATCTGTCATGAAGCTAGCGTGAGAGTAACCAAATGTTATTAATTCCTCTTGTCCACCATAAACCAAGAAATATTCTGTAGTTCGTCTGAGATACTTAAGAATAGTCTTAACAACACTGCAATGTCGTTCTCCTGGATTATTTTGATAACGACCAACAATACTAAGCGCATAAGCCACATCTGGCCTAGTACAGATCATATCATACATGATTGAACCAATTGCAGAAACATATGGAATCCCTCTCATGCGTTTGATCTCATCATCGGTTGAAGGACTATCCTTCTTTGATAACGATATCCCATGACCCATCGGGAGGAATCCTTTCTTAGATTCTTCCATTTTAAATCGATGTAGTATTTTGTCTATATATGTGGATTGTGAAAGACCCAACATCCTGTTAACTCTGTCTCTATAGATCTTAATCCCAAGGATATAACAAGCTTCACCTAGATCTTTCATCATGAAGATTTTGGACAACCATTCTTTCACAGACTTCAATAAGAGGATATCATTCCCTATGATCAGAATGTCATCAACATATATGACCATAAAGACCACACTATCCTTTCTGCGTTTTGTATACACACACACATCCTCTTTGCTTCTGATAAAGCCAAACGATTTGACCGCTTCATCAAAAAAGATATTCCAACTCCTTGAGGCTTGCTTTAGCCCACAAATGGATTTCTCCAATTTACATACTGATTTGGGATTTGACTTGGATATAAAACCTTCAAGTTGTACCATATACACCTCCTCCTTGAGGTTTCCATTAAGGAAAGCAGTTTTGACATCCATTTGCCAAATCTCATAATCATAGTATGTTGCTATCGCAAGCAAAATTCGAATGGACTTGAGTTTTGCAACTGACGAATAGGTGTCACTATAGTCAATTCCCTCTCTTTGACTATAACCTTTAGCCACTAGCCTGGCTTTGTATGTTTGCACCTTGCCTTCGGCATCAATTTTCTTCTTGAAAACCCATTTGCATCCAATGGGTCTAACCCCAACAGGCAAGTCAACCAAGTTCCATACTTGATTGATATACATTGAGTCCATTTAAGATTTCATGGCTTCTCGCCACCTCTCTGAATTAATATCTAATATTGCTTCAGTGTAAGTATTAGGTTCATCCTTGTCAGGAATTTCAACATCATCATGATCCTCCATGAGGAAGCCAAACCTAGTTGGTTCATGACGAATCCTAGTTGACCTATGGAGTTGAATATTTTGCGATTCTTCAGACTGCTCATTCTGATTGTGAAGAGGTTCTCTTTCATTGGACTGTCCAATGCTTGGAGAATTTTTTGGTGCTACACTTTAAGTGTTTCTAGAGAAGGAGAAGTAGGTGTAGAAGGAATGACAACCATGTCATTTCTTTCATGCCTAATAGGAACCACTTGCTGGTGCGATGTGCTTCCTATATTACTCCCACTAGCGCAAGGATATCCTCCTAGAGACATACTTCCGCTTAATCCTCCCACTGAATCCTTGTTTTGACCATTTAACAAGTTTTCATCCTCTATGTTATTTTGTGATTCTTGAATTTCTTCTAGTACTATCTTCTCACGAGTGAATTCCTTGAAGACCAAGTCTTCTTCTAGGAATCGTGCCTGTCTGGAAATAATGATTTTATGTTCCTCAAGATGATAGAAATAGTATCCTCTGGTTTCTTTAGGATACCCCACAAAATAACATTTCTCACTTATAGGTCCCAACTTATCAGTGTGCAATTTCTTCACATAAGCAGGGCAACCCCACACTTTAATATGTGAAAGAACAAACTTCTTATTACACCATAACTCATATGGTGTCTTTTGCACTGATTTAGATGGAACTCTATTCAGAATGTATATCGAAGTTTGCAATGCATACCCCTAAAGAGATGGTGGAAGAGACGTGGAATTCATCATGGACCTAACCATGTCTAACAAGGTTCTATTTCTCCTTTCAGAAACACCATTCAATTGAGGTGTTCTTGGAGGAGTCCATTGTGACTGAATTCCCTGACCTTTTAAGTAATCAAGAAACTCCTTACTCAAGTATTCCCCTCCACGATCATATCATAGAGTCTTGATACTCTTGTCAAGTTGCTTCTCTACTTTAGCCTTATATTCCATGAATTTCTCAAAAGCTTCTGATTTATGTTTCATAAGATACACAAATCCAAACCTAGAGAAATCGTTAGTAAATGTGATGAAGTAAGAAAAACCTCCTCTAGCTTGAGTTGGGAATGGTCCACACACATCTGTGTGAACCA